ATGTGATGCTCATCACTATCAGTACCCCAAAAAAATCTCGCCCTTAAACTTTCAAGATCCTTTAAAACCGAAATGGGAGCAAGGAAAACATACATCAAGTAACTCCCTAAAGAACCCTAGACACACTTCACCAAAGTAAGATGACCTCCAAATGAGAGACACTTAGCCTTCTAGTTAGAGAGCTTGTAACGAAACCTATCGATCATAAAGGCCCAAGAGGATTTTTGAGTCACAGGCTGACCCACCGGGATTCCAAGATAAAAAAAAAAGGAGCATAGAGGCCGTACAACCAATCCTGTTAGCCACCACAAGAACATTGGAAAAAGAAATTCCAACACCAATCAATTTACTTTTAAGTAAATTGATTTTAAGCCTAGAAGCCAAGTAAAAACATCTAAGGATACGAAGGTGACAGTTAGCGTTCTCAGGGTCCCAAGGGGTGATCAACATAACATCATCTGCATACATGAGATGAGAAATCTCAATTCTTGAAATAGAAACTCCTCTAAAAGCATTCCCAGCATGATCTCTCATCATAACAATGTGGAGACCTTCCATAGCCAAAAGAAACAGAAAAGGGGATAAAGGGTCGCCCTATTTCAACCCTCGGTGAATTTGAAATTCATCAGTCGGGGATGCATTAACCAACAGAGAAGCTCTAGTAGTGGATAAAAGCTCTTTAATTTACCAACACCACATGGACCCAAAACCCATAATGGACATAATTTCCAATAAGTAGTCCCAAGATAAGGAGTCAAAAGCGTTCTCAATGTCGACCTTGAGAAGCATCAGAGGATTATTGGAAGATTTACTCCAAGTAACCAATTCATTTAGGAGAAAGGGGCTATCTAGGATCTGTCTACCCTTGATAAAAGCATATTTCTCAAGGCTAACGACAATATGTATAACTTCCATTAGACGACTAGCAAGAAGAAATAATTTTGTATTGGTAACCTATAATACTAATGGGTCTATAATCTTTTGGAGTCTTAGGATCTCTCACTTTTGGAATGCTAATGAAAAACAAATCATTACATCCCTTAGGTATGACAGAATGATGAAAAAAGTGGTGAACAAAAGCCTCAACATTAGTAGCAACAAGGTCCCAATATCTTTTACAAAATCCAAAAGTAAACCTATCAGGGCCAGGGGCTTTATTAGAACTACAGTCCCAAACACCCCTTTTTATCTCCTCACGGGAAAAAGGGGACTACAAGTAATCAATATGCGTTTGGGATAAGGAACTAAAAAGAGCATCATCTTTTACCGGTCTCCATGAAGAGTTCTTCTGAAATAAAGACTGGAAATAATTATGAAACCCTTCTTTAACCTTGATCGGATTATCCACCCAAACGCCATCAATCATCAAACCACGAATGGCAATTTGTCTCCTTTTACGATTAAGCATACCATGGAAAAATTTAGAGTTCTCATCCCCTTTAATGCCCCACTGAATTTTAGCCTTTTGAGCAAGATCAACTTGAACAAGATGATCAAAATCAGACATCTCCTTCAATAAAGAAACTCTTTGTTCTCTCAAGTTGGCAGAGCCATCATCCTCCATGAGCCTAATATTAATAGACTCTAATAAATCTTGAAAATTTTTCCTTTTCTTACCCACCATAGCCCGGTGATTGGAGTTCCACTCCCTGAGTTTAGATTTAAGAAATTGAAGTTTTTTCTTAAAGATAACCCAAGGGTTAGTCAACTCCATCTCCACCATCTTGGTAGCCCAAGCCTTCATAACAATGTTATCAAACCCCTCCATATGAAACCAAGAATGAAATAAGCGAAAAGGAGTTGGACCATAATCTACTCGATGCTCCAGAAGAAGAATAGGGCGGTGATCAGGAATATTTTGTTGCAAGACCATAACTAAAAGGTGAGGAAAAGATTCCAAAAAGCCTTCCATGACCAAAATCTGTCAAGCTTGCTAAACTTGGGACCCCATTTATCGCTCCAAGTAAACCGAGGGTCACCCAAAGGAACGTCGACAAGATCAAGAGAATTAATAAAATAATTAAAAACTCTAGTAGAATACATATTAGAAATCAAACCCAATCCCTCATACTCGTTTCTAACTTCATTGAAGTCACCCATTACAATACTTTCCCCCGCAGAGTTGGAGATAAAATTATAAATTTCATTCCAAAAAAGTCTTTTATTACTAATCCCTTGTGGAGCATAGACAACTATAAAATTGACTAGGATACCCGAACGAACCCAAACCGCTTCTATAACAACAAATATGTCATGAATGAAAACACAATTTTGTGAAATCAAATCCACATCCGAAATGACAAGAATCCCCCAGAAGATCCACGGTAGGGAGAAAAAGCATGCATAAAGGAAGAATTACCCCCAAAAGATCTAGCCATAACTAAATCGATACTCTCTAACTTAGTTTCTTGAATTGCTAAAAAATTGATTTTATGATGATTACAAAGATTTTTTATCCAACTCCTCTGATCACTAGAGCCCGCTCCTTGGATATTTATTTATAAACAATTCATTTTGGAACTTGTCTGTCAACGTGCCCTTTTAGAATTTAGGTAACACGATCTATACAACTGTTCGTATTATACCCCAACGTTTCTCCCATAGCAATAGTTTTTTGTAATTCATTTAGGAATGAATTATTTTTTCCAATGCCACCTGAAACACTTTGGTTTTTCCCTAAAAACGAAACCCACTGGTTTGAGAATACTGATGGATGCGATGGATCCTCTTTTGAACAGTTAATGCCCGAGATTCGACCATAAGCTCTAGAAAAACCTAATGGTTTGTTATTTGACCTGTCCTTGGGAGAACAAGTTTCAGTAAAAACAGCATTCGTGCCCCTTATTTTCAGATTTTCTGCAGTTTTCTTCCGATGATGATTTGAGAAAAAAGGAGTTGAGGCTGTCGAGGTGGCTACTGTCGCACACTTGACAACATCAGCGGGAGCTTGTGTTGCTGCCTGCATGTCTTCGGCCGGTGTACGGGGTGGAGCTGGGTTATGGTTACTGCGATTCTGGTGACCAGCATGAGCGAGACCTGGGCCAGCAACAGGAAGAGATTCCTGTGATGTTGAGCCTTCATTTATTGGGATAGAATTCCGGTTTTGCCCCTGGGGTGTATCTTTATGAATCTTGGTTGATTTTTTAATTTCCTCTTCTTTATCCATTTTTTTTCATAACATCATAAATACCAAAATGATCAAATGAGGCCTCTTCCTATCAATTAACGAGTCATTGCTATTGCTACCATCATGATCTTGTTCAAATCTATGAGTTGCGTCAACATTATCATTGTCAATGTTGTTGAATTCACACACGAATGTAGGATTCCAACCGGGAGCTTTTTTTATACGAATGGGAAAATTTTCACCATCAATGGGAAAAAATATGTATCATTTCAATTTTTTGTTAGATAAATACATAAGATCGGTAACATTGACTATATGCAGTTTATATCATAATAGGAAAACATGTTATATGTGACCAAAGTGTTATGTAAGAAACATTATAAAATAATAATAATAAGTACATAAAATTGACATCGAAATGCAAAAAAACACGAACTTATATTAAAGCATCCATAAAAATAAATAAATAAAAAAGTTATAACGGAAGTTCGAATAATGAAAAACATATTATACATGATGCGACTTATACATATGATACATACATAAGATAAGCACAAATACATTAAAAAACAAAATTATGTCGCAATCTGAACACACTCAGATTTATACAAATACGTAGCGAACAAGTTCTTTCTCAAAAAAAAAAATTGAATTTAAATTTACATTGACACGTTGACCATCTCAAATATAAATATAAATATAAATATATAATGATATAAACATAAAAATAAATATAGAAAATCAAATTATATATATATATATATATATATATATATATATATATATATATATATATATATATATATATATATATATATATATATATATATAAAGGTGAAATATAAAAATTAAAGAAATAAAAATAATATTTTTAAATTTTAAAGACAAAAATATAATTTTACAAAGTTGAAAAAGTAAAATGATGAAAAATCAATTTTATAGAGTTAAAAGGTGGCAATTGTCATTGTATACTAATTTATATTTACCAAGTTGAAATCATAAAACCAAATAACCCTTGTTTTGAAACTCAGAAACCAAAGAACCCCATCAACACATAAGTTCGAAACTGAAAAACCAATAAAAAAAACCGAAGACCGAATCCATTCAAAAACTCAGCCTAATGGATTTAGTAAGCCAAAAACCGAACTTGTCTGATTGGGATTTGGGTTTACCCCAAATATAACCGCCCTCATGTGTAGTTCTAGTAATCATTATGTTGGTTGCATGGAAACGAGATCTGGAACAAAAACGAAACTTCATACACGAGCTTCATATATGCTCAGTCAAGATCTTCATCTATCTTTCATCGTATTAAGAAGGTCATGAAGTTTCTTATTAATTATTTACCTTGATTTTTTTTCTTGGACAATAATTTAATACAAGTCTAAAAAATAAACGAAGACTCCATGTGGAAGCAAACACAGGTTTTACCTGTTATATAACATATCACATCACAATCACAATAGTATAATGAATACAAATCTATCAATTAAATCCAATGGCAAACCGTTCCAGAAGGGCCAAAAGAGTACTCGGGTAAAAGTACTGATCCCAATCATCATATATCAGCACGAACAAAAATTTACTTTTTAGTCTTTGGCAAAAATTTTGTTGATATGGATTTAAAACTCAAGTGTATAACTATATCTATAAAATAACTTGGTACTTATACAATCAAATGATCACTTACCACTCCGAATCAAATAAACGTAATATCTAAAAACCTTTAGATCAATGAAATGAAAACTAAAATCACTAGCTTCTATTTCTTCCTTACCTTTTGTTGATTCCCCAAATCTGAATTTTAAGATTGTAGATTCTCATGCATGCAAGATGATCAAATGTATTTTTCTCACAAAAAAAAAAAAGCCCTTCAAAAATCAAACGATGGATCGCCGTAATCCCAAATACTAGGTGGTGGGTACTCGTCGTCGTGTGTGTACGACCAAATAGGAGACGATGGACCGCCAACAACCGTTGGATCTGACACTGTTTCCGCGACCGCCATAGGTGGCGAAGAGCTCGATACAAGTGAAACGCTTGATCCCACTGAACCCACCAACGCTTTAATCTCATCATCATCCTTCTCAGAACTATTCCCTCTATAATCTTGGCATTGTTGCAACTGTTGTTGGGAATTTTCACTTATCCAATTGCTTCTAGGGTTAGGGTTAGGGTTTGGATCATAAGAGTTGAAACCTGGTATCCCTCGAAAGGTGGGGTCCTCACTCTTGGGTACTTTGATGTTGCCCATGCTGTTGTAGGGCAAGTACGCTTGTTGCTGCTTCACAACGTGTAGTGGGTATTGTATTAGATTAGCAGTACCACTAGTTTCGATGTCGTTTGTACTATGATTTAGGGTTGGGTAGATTAATCTGTAGGGCAAGTAATTCCCATAAGCAGGGACGGATAGTGGCGCATGAGGATTGGAAAAGGTGAGACTGAAACCTGCGGGGCGTGGGAGTATTGGTCGGAGAGTTTGAGTGGTGGAGGAAGAGGAGCTGCCACTTCCACCGCGGGAAGAGGAGGAAGAAGAAGAGTGTGAAGAGGAAGCAGACGTGGTGGTGCTACCGTCAGTGCAAGGTTGCTGGAGGTTGAGTTGAGCTCTTGGACCGTAGAGTATAACGGCGGCACGGTCGTAGGCGCGTGCAGCATCTTCAGCGGTTGAAAACGTGCCAAGCCAGCGGCGCGTGCGTTTGCGTGGCTCACGGATCTCGGCGACCCATTTGCCCCAGCTACGTTGTCTAACACCTCTGTACTTAAACTTGCTGTTATCCGGTCCTCCTTTTCCTTTACCTTTTCTGCTAAGAGTGGATGGGCTCTCGAGTCCAGGGGAGCACGTTATGGTGGTGGTGGGAGGAGGAGGAGGAAGAAGAGGAGGTGAATTAGTGGAATGGAGGTGTGGGTGAGTATTATTAGTATTGGTGTCATCGTGGATGTCTCTAAAATGGTCTTGGGGATGGTGACCAGTGGCAGAGTCATCCATAATCTAGTTTTAGTTTAAAGAAAGAGATTGATGGCGATAAAAACTAAGTAGGAGGTGGAGGATAGGGAACCGGAGGTGCTAAATGGTGGAGGAGGGCGGTGAGGCTTAAATAGTCTGCCAACCTCTGTCACACTTTTCTTAGTGGTGGGAAGAAAGTGGATTGTTGACATTGTGAAGAAACATATTCACTAAGATTTATGTTTAATTGTTTTTTCCCGGTCTCCATTATATTTTTATACTTTGTACATCAAAGGAAGATATAAAAGGTAATAGGCTAATCTGAATTTATGAACGAATGTTAAATGCTCTATTCAAAATTAATTCTAACATGCTAAAAAAATCCTCCATAGTTGATGAACCCATGAGATATAATACTTGGGCGTCTAAGATTTGGGTTTAAGATTTGAAAAGTGATTCATACACATTAGTTTTTATCCGTATACAATATTTTATGTTTAATAGAGTTGTACAATACAACATTTTAAAGCATAAATTATCATGTATAAAAAAAAATTGTTATGCACAAATCAGCTTACCTAAGATTTATATATGGTGTATGACCTCAACATTTGATGGATGATTATAGTTTTAAAAAAACTAATGTATGACTTCAAGATTTAATAGATGGTCAGAATTTTCGGACAACGATGATGGTAGTAAACGAAGAAGTGTTACAATAAGGTCGTGAGTATGATCACTACATGTTCATTAACAAAAATAATGTTATATATACATAAGGTTCTAAATAACGTAAGTTGTAACTTGACATCAATATCAAGTCTCAAGTTTTTATGAGCCTTGACGAGTCACTTTGTTTGTAATTAAAGCGTGATCTAAGACAACAATGTCGTATATAGTTAATATTTATTTTATGCATTTTCAACTAATTCTATTTTATACATATATATGAGTTAAAGTCGCATTTTAGTAAGTTTGGCGACAGACACAAACTTTGGAGCAATGATGGAGCCATGATAAGCGTTTTAGAACCTTGCCTATAAGTTACATTACCTCCATTATATGTTAACTAGCATTTGAAATTGGTCACCACTCCATATTGTGTGTGTGTGTATATATATATATATATATATATATATATATATATATATATATATATATATATATATATATATATATATATATATAACATGATTAATAAAAATAAATAAGTAGGAAAATCTCCAGAAAAGTCCTAATATTTTCGAAAAAGCTACAGTTTAGTCCTAATATTTTTTTTGAATGAAAAAGTCCTGAAAATTGTTAACTATTTGCAGTTTGATCATTTTTGACCAGTTGAAACGGGTATAAATTAATTTGTGACTATTTTGTTAAATAACCCAAAATATTAAGACTTTTCTGTAAACAAAAATATTAAGAGTTTTCTGCAAACAAGACTCTTATTATTATTATTATTATTATTATTATTATTATTATTATTATTATTATTATTATTATTATTATTATTATTATTATTAATATTATTATTATTATTATTATTATTATTAAAAAATATAAATAAGAATACTATTTTTTGAACTTGTATTATTAATATTCTTAATACTACATATAAATGTATTTAAATGAAAAAATAATATTAATGACATTGTTTAAGTATGGTGATGGAGGAGATGGTTATGTTTTTAGTATTGAAATCATGAATGTCTGTTTATATATTTTTACTTTGTATATGATCATTTCATATTCCTTATTATTGTTTCCAGTTCAAAATATTAATACTTCAATTTTTTTAAATAAGTTAGATATTTGTAAAATTGTTTATAAATAGTTTAAGGTAGAAGGATTTCTTACTTTGTATATAAAATTGTTTAAGTTAGAAGGATTACTTTCCAAATCCAACAGATCCACTACAAATATCTATATTGGTAGCCCATATCAAAATTTAAAAGTACTAATTACAATATCTTGTTTAATAAAAAGTAATAGAAATAATTCAAAAGTATTAATCAAAATTCAAAAGTATTACTCCAAAAAACCTATCCTATTACTTTTTATTAAACACGATATTGTAATTACTAATTTTGAATTTAGATATAGACTACCTATCTATGTAGATGTTTGTAGTGGATATGTTGGATTTGGAAAGTAATCATTCCACCTTAAACAATTTTATACACAAAGTGAGAAATCTTTCTACCTTAAACTATTTATAAACAATTTTACAAATATCCAACTTCATTTAAATTGTTAAGTATTAATATTCTCAATTGAAAACAATAATAACAAATGTAAAATAACCATATACAAAGTAAATATATAAAAACAAAAATTCATGATTTCAGTGTTAAATTCATCACCATCTCCTCCACATCAACCCTTCAACAATGTCATTATTTTTTCATTGAAATGCATTTATTTGTTTTATTAACAATGTTAATAATAACAAGTTAAAAAATTAGTATTCTTATTTATATTTTTAATAATAATAATAATAATAATAATAATAATAATAATAAAGGTTTTATTTGCAGAAAAGTCTTAATATTTTTTGTTTATGGAAAAATCCCAATATTTTGGGTTAGTTTACGAAATAGTCCCAAATTAATTTTGTACTGATTTCAACTGGTCAAAGATAGTCAAACTGCAAATTTTTGCCGGTTTTCACGATTTTTTCGATAAAAAAAACTTAGGACTAATGTGTAACTTTTCCGTAAATGTTAGAAATTTTCTGACAATTTCCCTAAATATATATTTCACATTATTTAAAAACATATTACATAACATAAATTTCAAACCTAAATTACTAAAAAAAACATAAAAGAAATCTCAAACATAAATTTCTAAAAAAATATAAAAGCATTGAAATTTAAACCTAAAATACTTAAAAACATAGAAAATTAAACATAAAAATTAATAAACTTAAACCGAATTTCCATATTTTTCGCAGACTTGTTTGAAATTTAAGATACGTCGCTAAATTTTCTGGATTGGTATCCGGTTGGGGTTTTGTGTTTAGAATTTGAAGATTGGTAAGTTCTATTTTCCGGCGACGAGCTTCCTTCGTTGCTTCATATTTTTTTTCTAAAAACCTTAGAGTTTTGTCTATTTTTTACGCAAATACGTCTTCGCTACCTGCTTTTCTGCATGAAGATGCCGCCTTTTTCCATTTGTCCCTTCCCAGTGGTCGATAAAGGTGGACTTCCGGTGGTCACTCCCCCTCGGCGTCGTCGAAGTCTTCATTAAGGTTTCTGCCAAAACCTATATTCGACTCGGAAGTTCTTGGCCTTTTGTTGGATCCAGTGGTTGATTCTGAATGTGAAGTCTCCAATTTAGGGAACCATTTTGGATCCTTACGATAAATTTTGTATGCTTTTTAGTGGTGGAATGTTTTACTACCGTTGGTAACCTTGTATTATTGGCATGCGGTTAATAAAATATTGAAATCGTTGCTACCATTTTTATGCAAACTTTTAAGATTTTCAAATACGTCATGAAACTTGTTGCAAACCGCTTGTAGTTCATGCCATTTTCCATTGACCGCGTTATACGCTCGATCTGTTTGCCTTCCCAATAGCGAGTGAAAATGGTCTAAAACAAGAAGCCAAAAACTGTTACTCGTTTGTGTATTGCCCATCCTTGAATCACACGGTATGGAAATCCAAGCTTTAGATAAAGCTTCCTCTTCATCTTCGTTCCAAGTGGCAGCTCTTTTTCGTATATTTTCCTTTTGGTTACCTTTTTTCTAAACGGATGTTGTGTTTCTTGGACCCGTTCATCGTCGTTATGGTCGAGGTTTATATGTTGGGATTTAGATATTTGTGTTTGAAACTGTTGAGGTTGAGAAGGTTGTGGTTGAAATTGTTGAAATTGTTGAGCTTACAAAGCTTAGGGTTGAGATTGTTGAAAAGCTTGGAATTAGGGCTGATTGAATTATTGTGATGTTTGTTGTTGAAAGTGGTTTGGTTAATGTGGAACATTGGTAAATAGAGGATTTTTGTAACATCCCAAAAATATAGTCCAAAAATTTCTTTTTAAAATCATTTAAGTAAACCATATTACACTAATCAACACAATAAAGATCATAATTCATGTATCTAAAATCATCATAACAAAATACTATATCAAAATCATATATCAAAATATCAGAGTAAATCATCCCATGCAGTCATCCCAAACTTTTCCCCTTGCTACTAGAAGTAACTGAAACCAAAACTAAAAAGTGTAAGCACGAACCTTAATGATTCTCCCCAAGCTAACACATACAATACACAGAGCACATAACAAAATACATTAGGCCTAGCCCGCTACCATGGGCCCCGCCTGGCATCGAGCCTTGCTTGGTATAAAAATATGTTTCTACTAGGTCCCACCCGCTATACACATACAAACAATAACATATAATCTTGCTAGTACATAACAGTCAAACACAACACTATAACTGCTAGTCTCAAGGCCCCGCCTATCTTGGGCCCTGCCCCTACTCTGCTAATAATGAGTTATGGAACCCCGTCTACACGCAGCTAGTGATGAGATACGGGCCCTCGCCCACACTCAGCTCCCTAACAGGCACATACAAGTATCACACAAACAACAAGTATAACTAATCATGCATTCCTTCCTCGGGTACCACTCGACATCGAACCGTGGGCCTCGTCCGACATTAGACCAAAATCTGGAAACATATAAGCTACATTGGGCTATCCCTTGCATCGGATATAATCCGGCGTACACTAACATACATAAACGGGCCGAAATTGGTGCCTTCGACCCGCTCCTATAGGAGAAAACTCACCTCACATGCTGACTGAAGAATCCCAACGAATAAACCTCTCGCAGCTTGCTGGCAGATCCCTAAACTATTGATCTCTAGACTCCCTGAGCTATCATTACTAACATAATACTTAGTCAAAAACTGATAATCCTTCTTAGGGTAAAATGACCATTTTACCCTTGGTCAAAGTCAACATTCTGGTCAAAGTCAACGCTTGGTCAAAATCAAAGTCAACACTGAGTTGACCCAACTCGTCGAGTCACTCCCTTGA